TTGGGACAAATGATAAGCTGTGTTTAGATAATAAAGGCAAAACTGTACAAAATCTTGGATCGTGTTTTATCGTTGTTTGGTTTTCTAGGGGCGTAACAGCTTCTCGGTAAGAATATTTCAAATTTTCAACCCTTAGACTTCAGTTCTAATTCAGAATCTCACGGCGTTAAACTACACTTCATAATTATCCTCTCGTGTGTATTTATGTGGGTTCTTTTTAAAGGAGTGCAGGATCTGTGAAAAAATTCTAATTTGGACTATATTTGATAAAGGGCCGAATTGGGAGGCTCGCTTAAAACTATTAACCCTACTCCATGGGAACCGTGGAGGAAAGTGGTGTTGAGCCATTTTTCGAAAATCGAGTTATCGGCGGTACTACTCGATGAAATTACATTCCCTTTGATTATAGCGTGAAAGTTATTTTCAATCGATTTACTAGGAGAGCACATTTATTACAACTTTGTGGGACGTCCCTTGTGAAAATTTTCAGATAACGAATTAGAGATCATGTTTACTTTTATTTACTTTCCACGAGGACGCGTTGTCTTCATAATTCCATAACGTTTTCCACAAAGTTTATAATCGATACTTCAAAGGATAAACATTTTATTTTTGCGCAAAATAGTAAAGCATCAATTTAGCATTGGAAGTTTGGCCTGTAACAAAACCAACACAGTCAGCAATGTCGAGAGGACCTTTTTTCCTTTAGATCTGAATCTGTGATAAAGTAGATTATTATTAATATTTTACGAGGTTCGCAACAGCGGAGGTCATATAAAATGCAGGGCCGCTGGATTCGAACCCGGGACCTTTACCTTACAGTGATGTGCGCCGTGTTAACGCCTTAACTGTTACGGCCGCCGACACCCCCTCAAGTAGATTATTAAAAAATCGTTTTGGAGATGGTTAGTGTAACAGAAACAAGTATGTTGTAGATTTTTTCTTCTAAACTTCTAACATCAAGAAAAAAGGATTTAAACAAGCATCAACCTACAAGCGGGTTGCAGAGTGGTTTTCTCCATAATTAATGATCGCACACTTTCGATCAACCGAATCATTGAGAAATCTGTTACTAATTTAATATTAACACCTACATTGCAGTCATCGACTTCGAAAAAGCGATCGTCTCAGCATTCCACTCTTTCGTATTCTATGCCCTTGAACCTCAAGATATCACAAAAACTTGCATAAATGTAATAAAAGAAATGCACCAAAAATAAAGATCCAGAGTAAAAATGGACGAAAAAGAGCACTACTTCAAAATCGAACGCGGAGTTAAGCTGGCAAATCACCTATCCCCGATTATATTCAATTGTTACCTGGAGCAAATAGTTAGGGGCGCTGAACTGGAAAAAAAGAAAACGTTTGGAATACTAATTGGTGAGAAACGCTTGACACATCTACGATTTGCGGATTACCTAATCCTACTTGCTGAAACTGCTTTTATGATGACGTGATTTGCTTTCCTCCTAGATCACTGAAAGAGCTAAGGCGGACTTACGAAAGAAAAAAACGTTCTAATGACAACTGGAACCCCCCCCCCAAAAAAAAAAAAAAAAAAACAAATAAAAGACAAATCACTAAGGAGAAGGAAATATGTATCTCGAACAATTCCTCAATTTTAAAGACAAAATAAATTATCAGAAGAATATCCTGTCTTGGAGGAAATTCTGGAGTCTGAAACCAAAAGTGGAGACCAGATTCTGGAGTCAAAAATAATAAGATAGAACCCAAGAAACCAGGCGGGTAGTAGTAGAATCAGCAGTATTGCCTTGACTCACCTATGCTTCCCGAACATGGCCAATTTGCCATGTAATCCCATAAAGACAAATGGAAAAATGCATGCTTGAAATAAAACAAAATGACAGTGTGAAAAATGTTAACATTCAGGAAAAGACAGATCAAGAGGTTAGAGAAAAAGTGAAGGCATTTAAGTGGAAGTTGGCGGGCCATGCATGAGGGATAAAGATAGCGGCAAATGGACGAGAAAAGCTACAAAATTAAACACCATGCAGGGAGACAGGAAAAGAGAAAAACGGGAACAAGATGGGAAGACAAAAAACAAAAGAACAAAGAAATTTACAAGGGAAGGAGGATCAAATTGCATAAAGAAAACAAAAAATTGGGAAATGTGGATGCAAATAAAGGAGGCCTGTTGGGAAAAAAATTAGTTAATAGATTATATTAAAAAATTCTTTTACTTGATATTAGCAAATTTAAACCAATAAAAGGCTATTTTATTCATTTATTTATTTTAGTGACTAACCAATTTTAATCTTAATTAATTTAGACTGATAGTTATAAATATAACAAGCTTGATAGATATCTCGAAATATATTATATTATAATATAATAAATATATTACTGATAGATTAAAGCTTATAAATAGATAAATACTTTTTAATAGTGTAACAGATTACCTCTTCCTCTTTCTTCTACTTGTCCCTTTCTCTTCACTAAACACACTCTCTCACACCACACTCTCTCTCTCTCTCTCTCTCTATCTATCTATCTCTCTCTCTCTATCTATCTATCTATCTATCTATCTGTCTATCTTTCTATTTATCTATCCATCTGTCTCTTTCTCTATATCCATCTATATATATCACTCTCTTTCTTTCTTTTTCCCTCTCTCCCCGATCACACACTCACTTCGATCCATCGGACACCAAAAAATTGAAAAATGGCAGTATCCCTCCTGGGAAAAATCGAAAAGTTGTAGGCTGAGATGGGAAGTTGGTGTCCGAGTGGATCGATGTCACAATAGTTCAAGTGGTAGAGCAGCGGCGTATTTAGCCGAAGGTCGTGGGTTCGAATCCCGCATTTCAACCAAAAACCATATATAAAAAGATTAATTCATTCAATATATTTTGAACGTAGGCTAAAATAGCTCGAAGAGCAGGAAGTATGTATAGCCACATATTTGTCGCGATGTTATTCCTTTATTTATTTATTTTAGTTTATTTTTGTATTACAAAGGGTTTCATTGTTTTTCCTGTATTCTTATGCAAATTATAAAATAGCCCGGCTGCCCTTGAGGTCGTACGCGGAAATAACGAGCCGTGCCAACTGGGTTAGCCGTTAGATAATAAATATTTCTACAAACTGGGATTGGACAAGCGTCAAACTGCGAGAGCAAGTTTTGACTCTGCTTTCAAAAAGGGTGCTCATTTTCAAATTTGTTCAACTTTTGGCATGCTTAAATGTTTGGTCAGTTCGTTCGGTGTTAGCGCGATGGTTCTCAACTCCTCCATTGGCCTTGAGGGCTTGAGCCGCCATTCAGGCGGTACGGCGCCGATGATTTCACCCGATGAAGGGCACGGCCGAGCTCGAAATAGACTTCACCCTAATTATGTCGTGTAGAAATGTTAGACTGACATCATCATTACCGTTTATGGACAAGTCATTTTTTCCCTAATTCTATAGATCAAATGTAGGCGGCATAACAAATCGACACTAAGCAAAAACTAGACAAAAATTACTAATCGATGCACACAAGTTAAACAAAGATTTGGGTGTACTTATCACTGAGTTACCAGGAAATCGATTGAACCATCATTTGATTTATATTTCTTGTGTTTCTTTTCAGGAACTAGACAACCATCAAACTCATTTTCTTTTAATAGATGGTTGACTAGTTCCTGAAAAGAAACATAAGAAATATAAAAAGCCAACAACCGAAAAAGAAGAAAAAAAATCATTTGATTTAGTTATATCCATCACACAGAGAAAAATTACTAACAGGTCGGTTTCACAATTAGATCGACGTAGGTCGTACGACTTGTAGCTCTCTGTCAACTCGATTGAGCCAGTCTTCTTTCCTTCGCAGGTGGTTGCCCTGAATTTTGATGCTTAAATATTTGTTGGTGCAATTGTATATATACTTTTACTGATGAAAAATATCTGCAATGTACAATTACAATTATGTGACAATGCTTGCTCAAAATTAATACTGATGAGAGAGTGCAAAACTATAGTGTGATAACATTCGGCCTGTGTTCGGGTAACTTTGTAGTGTGCTTATAAACGTACCGTATAATCAGGTCTCTGTCAAATATACATATATTTAACAATAGGTCACTGTTAGGACGATCTACTATAAATCAATCTATATCAAATCTATAGATACAAATATACACATCAATCCGTATATAATCATGTCAGTAATAGATCAATCACTAAAAGACAGGGGCATCGGTGGCCGTAACAGATAAGGCGTTGACACGAGGCTCAACACTTTAAGGTAGTTTCCCGGTTCGAAACCAGTGGCATTGCAATTGGAACTGCATCTGACATGCTTGGTGTTATCTCAAAAACACCCATACCCCAAGTGACTAATGCAGTTGCAAAGCACCGTAAAAAAAAATCATTATGACCAAATATAATGTAGTTGATCTATCATGCAGACAAAAATTACTAATTAATTAATTGTCAAGTCAAATATTCATAATTTGACAAATTAGGACAAAAACAGCATAAAAATTATTGAGACGATCTGTCAAAATGACAACCAGTCTCTCACAAAGTCAAAAATTAATAATATATCAATTGGTTTATCATCTAGTCAAAAAATACTTAGGAATGAGTGGTACTACTTATTACAAATAGATAGCATTTAAACTTAAGAAAAAATATATTTGTAAACATTTGTACAATTGAAAACCTTGGTACTCTGTGTATTAGTGCTAAGAAAATTTATTCCCTTTGCCTTTGCATTAACAAAAGTTAATATGAAGGACATTTTGTTGAAATTACTTTGATTGAGAATCATGTTACTCTATGTTTAAAAGACCTGACAAAAGTGAATGTAAAAACAGAAGTAAATGTTATTTTATTGTTAACTAATTAAACTTTATTTTCATTTGTCTTTAATTGAAAATTTTTGTTATATTGTGTTTGTTATATGCAGTATATTGTGTTATTGTTACTTATTTATGATTAATTTAAAAGATTATTTGATTTTGTGAGTTTATATTTTATTTATTTATGCATTTTTTTAGCTTTGAAAAGCCTGTCTGGGAAGGCAGAGGAGATGATAGAAAAAACCAAGACATCAGTTGGAGAAATGGCAGCAGAAAAGAAGGCAGCAGCCGCTGCCATGCTTGAGGCCCAGGCTAAGAAGACATCTGATGCCCTTTGGCAGTCAAAGTCCAACGTTGAGGCGGGACTGGCTGAAGGGGCTGCAGAGGCCAAGGCAGCTGCAATCGACGGTTTTGACGCTGAGCTCTCAAACGCTGAGAAGTTGGTCGACGAGGGGGTGACCGAGGTAAAGCCAAAAACTCAAACCGTCAAACTTTTTGTAGATGAATGTGGAAAGCTCTGCCAAGAGATTAGTTGGCAAAACCCCTTGTGAACCTTTTCTTTTAAATAAAAATAAACAAATATTTTAAAAAATTAAAATCAATCTTTTAGTATATTTAAATAAGTAAAAATGTAGATGTGAAGTAGAGTAGATATGAATGTTTAATGCATTGTGCAACTTTTGTGAGCATGTTGGTGTTTGTAAGAAGATTGGTCAACAGACATTCGTTGATGTCATTACAATAACAGTCACAAAGCATTGACATATTATAAATAATTAAGCCATTAAAAAATTACTAAACAGTTTAGAAGTACTACAGTATCAAATCAATATTTATATTACCTAGTGGATGTGTTGTTATATTTTGACCTGACTTTTATTAATCAATCAACTGGTATTAGAAATGAGATACATTTCATTTGAATTCATTCCTATTGAAACCTCTTGTTGTTAATTAAATTCTGGCATTAAACTCTTTGTAAGAAAAATTCATATACATATATATATATATAGCACCATTATTTAACAATTAAATGAAAGTAAAGTAAAAATGTTTAATACATAGTTCAACCTGTAGAATTTTTAAAAAAACAGGAATGGTTTATTCTCTGTAATTAATTATTATTGAAACATAATTTTTTTTTTCTTCAAGGGATGACAATGCATGAAAACTACCAAAATTTGACACAAATCTGGTTTACAAATTTCACAGCTATTCTTCTAAACTAATATTATTATTATTTTTACTGCGATGTAATCCCTCGTTCTCGTCTGTTTTTATTTTGATTTTTATACACTTTTTTTTCTCTTGCTTATGTTGTTTTTGTTTATGTAAACCAGTAAACGGTTGTGCATTAGTTTTTATTTTCACATAGAACAAAACACCCAAACCCGCGACAACTGATTCCGGCTTTGACCCTGCTAAATTGCTGGCAAGTACGGCACTCGCCGGAGGCGTCCAGGGCATGGAAAAGGAGGTAGAAAAAGTGGTTGATGAAAAACTGAAAGAGGTATTTCTGAGAATTTTTATTTATTTTTTCAGTTTTTTTAAAAATGTAATTTAGTTGTTTATTATTTTTTAATTTCAAATAGAAACCAGATGATAATTTGAGCAGAACGGAACGTTCTTTAAACAAAAAAGTGAAATAATACATTTATGTTGTAATTATTTTCTTTTGTTTGACAGGTGGGCCAGACCGTGGACACCAAATTGAAAGAAGCGGACCAATACATCGATCAAAAACGTGATGAAGTGGTTAAGGTGGTCCAAGAAGAAACCCAAAAAACAGCCAATTCTGCGGGTGAAGGACTTGGCTCTGTACTCGGAAAGGCAAAAGGCCTTCTCCCTTGTAAGTAGATCTAAATGATTCCCTTATAAATTTATTAACTGGCCCTTAATCCCACAATAACAAGTTTGTAGTTGCTGTTGTCTTAGTTTGTAAGAATTCGCATTAAATCTTGTGAGGTGATAAAATCGTAGCTTGATCGTCTACAGTCAGCTTTATTTGTTAGTCTGTGTAATATTTTTGTAATTTGTCTTTATTTTTCAGCAATTAAATCTTAATTATAATTACAAAAATGTTGTAATTAGAAAGAGTTTTTTTATTAATCAAGTATTATTTAAGTTTAAAAGAAGAAAATTTCTACCTAACCACATCTTGATAAGAACAAATCAATAATAATAGTATTAATAAACTTTTTCCCTATCCTTAAACAGAATAGCACGTCATCTGTAAAACTAATCTACAATTTTTTTTAGAAATTTTATATAATTCTTTTTCAGCTAATTGCACCAGAACTTGCAATAATGAAGTTATTAAAAATATCAATTGATTAATGTGCCTAATCTTGTACATAGATACAATAACAGGACTTTAAGTCATATGAAGGAGAATTTTTTAGTTACACTATTCACACTGGTATGTTCGAGAGTTTAGCATTTCTCCATATTCAATGGTTTGTCAAGGGTATAAGCAGGGTGAAACAAGCTCGGTAGCTAATTTTGTTTATGCATATGCAATTAATGAACAATAGAATTGTCTTATCTTCACCCAAACTAACCACTTAAAATGGGAAAATGCATAAACATTTGGACATACCACTGTAAATAGGCACATGAAGATGATTGTAAATGATCAAACATTGAAGTTGCTACTTTTGCCTTACATCTGTTGTTTTGTATATATAATAGAATATATTATAAATTGCACTAATATTTTTATATATTTGTTTTCAGTTTAATTGATTAAGCAAAGCAGTTCAGCGGCCCCACTTGCTTCTTTCTTATAATTATACAATACCATAAGTAATGTTTTGCACATAGTACAGTTTAGAAAATGTTAGCAATTACTTATCTGTAATAGGAAATATAAGCAAAACTTTTGAGAAATGTCGTAATATTATTGTTTTAATAAGAAAAAAAGAAAATTTGGAAAATAAAAATAAAAAAATAAGAAAAAAAAACAGAAAAAATAAAAATGGTTTTTAAAGGCCTAAAAAAAGGTGATCTATTCAAAAGTGCTGAGGCACTAGCAATTGTCTAGAATTGAAAGATTTTTAATTATTCAAACCAACCGAGTAAATAATGAAAATTTTCTTTTTGAAATTCAAAATCAATATGGAAAAGTGTTAATTCGATGTATGTACATTAAAAAAGTTCTTCAGAGTTTTAATAAGTGATTGGATCAGTATTGTAGTTACTAAATTATCGAAAATGATAAGTTAGCACTGGTTGTTCATTTGATAAACCTACACAGCAGCATGATCTGTTTCGATGAGAACTATCATCCAAATCAATTACATACCTTGACCGTTAAATTTTCTTCATTGTCGGCCAATATGACAAAGTTAATTGGAAAATGTCCATACAAAAATGATTCAACCCAATAATTTTACTTGGTATACATAGTTCCTTCTATACTTCACTTCAGTGTAGCTATATGCTTGTGCTGTAGGGGGTTTATTAACAATTGTACTTTTTATTATTGCTAACTGCAAAGTGCGGCATCGCTTGTTAAATATAAATACTATTGTTGAAGTGTTAAAACCTCATTTTATTGCAAAAAATGTGATATGTAACCGTAGAACCCCCTCCAATAAAAAAGAAAAAAAAAATGATTATGCACCAGTCTAACTTGCCAAATGTTTATATATAAATATTTTAGTATTTTATTTTTTATAAGATAGTTGCTTGTCACAAAGGTATAATTGTTTCGTTGTTGACACTGTTAGTTGAATAAATTTCAGATAGTTTATATTTTTCATAAAGCCTAGTTCCCTCTGCCTTACTTTCAAAATTATATGTCAATTACGTGTATATTATAGCACAATTGTGTAATTGTATTTTAAATTTATTCTAAAGCAAATTGAATCTATATATGTATATTTTTGGAAGAGCTTTGCGACTGTATGGGTTCTTTCACGGTCGAGGCAAGGATTGATTATACCACATTTCTCTGTCGTAAACTATCTTTCGTACTTCTATCTTTGTCGAAGCATTTCTAAAGTCCTTGAGTATCTAATTCTGTAATGTAAACATTTACCCCTCTGTGTAATGTAATGTAATAAAAGTGTTTTATGAAAGGACAGTGTCTGGTTTTCTTTTCTCCTATGACCCGAATTTCACCTCATTATCTAGATCATTCGTAAAAAAAAAAAAAAAAAAAAAAAAAAAAAAATGACGCTAAACATAACACTTTTCACACAATATTGTAAAAACAAAATAAAATTTTTATAAAATAAGATCATGGTTGGATGGAACCATACAGACTTTTGAAAGATGTGTTAAGGTATGAGGTACACAAAAAAGGTTTATACGGCAAAGGTGATGTTTCAGATTTGAGGAGGCGCTTAAGTAAAACTCTTAGATAATTATTAATTAATTAATTCAAAGTTACCAGCCGTGAAGAATTAATTCTTTGCATAACCTAACTTAAACAAAGCATTAATACCTATCATCAGCAAAAATTCATCTCTTTAGATTTGATAAATCTGAACGTTGCTTTTATCTTGATTAAAAATTAAATATATATCATTATAACACTTATTTACATGCAAGACGTGCTGAAATGAAGCCTTAATGTCGCTAAAAATTTCTCTTCAATTTTAAAAGTGTAAATAAGATTAAAAATCATTTCATAGCATGATAGTTAATGGGCAATTTTCTCTTTATAAGGATGGGATAATTCTCATAATTCATGTATACATACTACATAATGCATGTAAGACATACATATTAAAAGGATGGAAAAAGAAATGACAGGTATTGGTAACACTTCCATTAAACAAAAATGTAACTAAATAATTATGTAAATATGACCAAGAGTAAATCATGTAAAATCATATAACATAAGTTTAATCATGTGTCACAGTACCTCATTGTTATTCAGAAATCGTGAGATGCGATCTGGGCAATCTCACGATTTCTGAATAATCACAATTAACGGTCACTAATCACCACACAGAACCTCATTGTGTTAATTAACGGATCTGAATTGTAATGAATTTCTTTATTATATAACATCTACAAGATTATGCTTTAGAGAACAGTGTAAACAATAAAAATAGTAAAAACCAAATTATTACATTGCCAAAATTGCAATTTATTGTTTAGCAAAATAAACAAAGAATTAAATAAACATGTAAATAAATAAATAAAAGAACTTGTGACTAATGAGACTGATAATGAAATGAAATGAATTGAGAACATCTATTTCATCTGTGATGCCACAGTATGATGAGTGAAGATCTCTAATAATATGAAAAAAGAAAAAGAAGAGCTAGCAGACTTACAATTCTCGACATATCACTATCAAAATGATTTTCATTGTCTAGGCATTCAAGTAGCTGTACGACTGATCTCCAATGTGATCTTTCCCCGATCTTACTTTCAAGCGCTATCAGTACGACTGTCAAGAACCCTGCTATTAGTGTAGCATAGAGTATGAATGTTCTGAAACTGCAAATAGTCCAGATTTAAAAATTGAGCCTCATTTGCATTCGCTATGCTCCTTCTCTGTCAGTGTTGAAGACAGGGGTGTTACAAAAAATGTTTTAAAGGAAAACGATTTCTGCTCTGTGAATGACTTGCTTGGTGGTACGGCTTTAGTTGACATAGGTCCAAGAGACACGTTAGTACATTATGGGATGAACTGGTGATGAAGATCAGACAAACATTCCTTGATGTGATCATCAGCTATGGGAAGAAAACGTTAATGTATTTTTTATATAAAGTTTAATTATATAAATTATATTGTATTACATATTTTTCATAAATTTTTTAATCTATGATATCAGGCTTTGCCATTATTAAATAAATAACAGTTGGTGAGTTTTGTTGAAATTATTATCTTAAATTGATAATACATAGTTATTATTTTATTTTTGTCAATACATTATTTCTATAATTTATTTTTAATTTTATTATTCATTATATTCGATAGACAAAGACAACTAAAAACAATTTTCATCAAAATTTTCTGTATTTATTGCAAGGTTGTTACAAGGTTATTACAAGGTATTACCAGCTCTGCTCCGTTAGAAATTACTACTAAGAATACCTATCGAACCATCACTGAATTAAAGAGTTTTAACTAATGTAGAAATAAATTACAAAAAGCTCCCAACAAGAGGTAGGTCTGGAATCTGATCAACCGATTGAGGTGCTGAAGAAAATTAACTAAACCAAGCGTAAATAGTACCTCGGAAACACCTTCTATTAGTTCAACCAGTCATTAGAACAGAGGATGACCACCTGTGAGAAGTTGGAACTGCAACAACATAGTTCACACCCATAGGGTCTGTCAACGGAATCTTGTAGTGTTGTAGCTGCATGTAGCAACTATGAGAAGCAAAAAATGGGCAGAAGAAGCTATTGGGAAACATCGATAGTTGTATAACTGAAGTGAACAAAGTTAGAGCAGTAGTGAAAATTGTTTTTTAATCTATGATATTATTTAATCTATGATTTGTCTATCGAATATAACAAATAATAAAATTAAAAATAAATTATAGAAACTGTATTGACAAAAATAAAATAATAACTATGTATTATCAATTTAAGTAATAATTTCAATAAAACTCACAAACTGGTTATTTATATTTTAATACCGGCAAAGCCTAATATCATAGATTAAAAAATTCATAAAAAATATGTAATATAATATAATTAATATATAATTAAACTTTATTAAAAAAATGTAAAAAAATACATTAACAACAAGATACACTCTAAATCGAAATTAAAGCCAAAGAAGCAATACATGTAAAGGAAAGGGTTTTGAGGAGATCCAGATTTCCAGCTACACTCACTCATCATCAGAATGCGTAAGTCATCAAAATCCAGATCATTGCAAAACCAGTTTGTGAGCAGAACCATCCCTTTTCAACTATTGAATTGATATAATTACTTCATCGTAATCATTTATTACAAAGTGCAAACCCAAATTATTCAGGGTAAACATTTTTTTGTTTTTGTTTTTAAGGCAAAAAACCACCAAGGGTCATGAACCATCACTATGTTGTTAGCCTAGTTAGTATTAGTAATTGTTAGTACGTTGTTATAACATTTTAATGTGAAAATTATATTTGTTTATTAGGCAGGATTCGTAGAGGAAGCTAAATAGTTTCTCGATGTTATTAAAATTGTCACCTAGTATTGCGTTTAGATTATTTGCTTGTATGAACCTAGTTCTTAGTTCTGTGTATTTTTTGCATGTTATTAAAACATGTTTAACAGTGATTATTTCTCTGCAATATGGACATACTGGAGCAGGCTCCTGGGACTCAAATGACCATGCGTCAGTCGACAGTGCCCTATTCTCAATCTAGCCAAAGTTGTTTCTTCTTCTCTGGGTTTTCGTGATATGTCCCACTTTTTGACATAACCCTTAATTTCCCAAAGTTTGTTATTCCTCACTCTCTGCCACTCAATTTCCTAATGCGACCATATAACTTTTTTAATAAATGAATTAAAATCTTCATAAGGTACTTCGATTATTTTATGTCCTTCTGTTATAGCTTTCTTTGCTGCACGGTCAGCTTCTTCATTCCCAATTATGCCACTATAACCCAGGATCCATAAGAAGCACACAGACTGATTTTTAAATTTGTTTGTCATCGTAAGAAGAATATCTTGTACGATGGGATTAGCTATGAAGAGGTTTTTAAGGGTGCAGATGGCAGAGAGAGAATCAGAACAAACTATTACATTAGGGGACTTGTAGTCTCCAATGTTGAGATATTTATTTATGGCTAGTAGTTCAGCTGTAAAATTACTACAGAGAGCAAGAGAACATCATTTTCCTATTGTTACAGACAAATGCGGCAGCAACACCTTCAGTTCCTTCTGACTCGCCTGTAAATATTAAAGTTGAGCCTTATAAGAGCTTATTAATTTAAGGAATTCTTCTCACGTAGACTGGGGTGGTATCTTTGGGAAAACGTTTCAAAGAGAGATCTATGCTAGGGATGGCAGTTAGCCATGGAGGTATAGGGAATGTGTGTTTTTTGAATTTTTGGAAATTCAATGGAATGGTTTTCATTAAAAAAAAGGCTGAAATTCTAATTGCAAAGTGATGTCTAGTGGTTTTTGTTACATTCCATTCCGTGTAAGGAATGGGTTTTAGGTCAGGAAATAATTCTGCAAGAGGATGTGAGGACTTATATGCTACATATATGCTACCATCCCAAATTTAAAAAGCAAAAATGGGCGTATGTACTTACTTCTTCTGAGATGAAACGAAGAGATGAATTACACAATGAAAGATCGATATTACTACTTTACTAGAACCACATTTGTTAATAAACATTGGCAGCCGTCATCCTCGTCGAGGACATGCACATTTTTACCCGCCAAAAATTCCTTTAACTTTTCGCTTTTTTTTAGCAACACTATTGTAATATAAAGTGATAGAATATTGAAAGCATTTGTAGTACATAATTGTACTACAAAGAAAAAATATAACAGGACGTAAGCTTCCAGAAATTTATGATACTTTTCCAATTTTTTCCATTTATATCAAACTTCAGCTGAGAGTTACCCAACCATTTTTACGCGGATCTGCCAATCCAGTACAGACAGCAGACAGCCAAAAAATTGAAATAGGCTCTCGTAGATAGTTAAAGACAGGGGATGGCGTATTATCACCATTTTTGAAGCGAGATGTTTTTATGGCGCCCCTCCGAGGTCGTCATGCCGATAGAAAATTTAAAACATTTTATATTTTTATAAATTTTATAAATAAGCCTTTTGAGATTTGACAAAGAGTGGATTGTAGTTTTCTATCAATAAGTGAGATAATTTAAATTGAAATCGCCTGTATAGCAGGGTCGCTGGCAAGACTGCAAGCTGGTAACTGGGAATGCAAAGTACAATGGCGAAGGTAGTCGATAAGTTGTAAACAAGTGTCACGAATTCATATCCCGAACTGATGATAAGCCGGAATTTTGCTGGGAGCGGATTGAGCCTTCGAGACTTTACAGAAGGGAAATCGAGATCCGTTTTTCACATCGAGTCACGAAGGACATATTAAACACATGTTAAGGTACAATAATTGACTCGGCCGCCCATGAAGTTCCCAACTCTAAGCTTAAAGCCTTTGGACCAGGTGTAAGAACGCTAATTCCGGCCCGTTGTCAATTGTTTTTCTCTTCTGTTTTTCTTTTTTTTCTTTCGGTTAAAACAACAGCGGACAGCACACTGTCCTAAAAGCCACGACAGTACTAAGTTCAACCTACATTTAAGTACTGTCAAACCTGTTTATTTATTTACGGACAATAGTCCATTTTTTACAGTAATTGCAAGAAAGACAAAAAATATTTAAAACATGAAATACATTGAAATATTAAGCATTGACAATAATAAAAATAATAACTTGTTGAAGTCGTGAGGAGCGGTCAAGAATGAGGTAGTTTAGAAAAACACCTTTTCCATTTATTATTTTTTGCTTAAGTTTCGACCTTTATTCGGGTCATCTTCAGGGCCTGGGTAAATTACAAAACATACGTCGATTGTAAAAAATACAATTGAAGATGTAAATATAAATTTTGAACCAAGTATTTCATACGTTTTCCATCAACATATGTTTTGTAATTTACCCAGGCACTGAAGATGATCCGAATAAAGGTCGAAACGTCAGACAAAAAAATGAAAAAGGTGTTTTTCTAAACTAATCTCATTCTTGACCACTCCTCACGACTTAAACAAATTATGAAACAACAGGTAACTAAGAAACACGCAAAAATAATAACATACAGTATAATTTAGATTATTTAAATACAAAAATAATATTTGGGATTTGCCTAGTAAATAAAAACAGTTGTAAATAAGGTTAAATAATTATATATACACAACAATCAGCCAGCATATCTGGTATACATACACCAGATGTACTGATTGTTGTTGTACAAGTTCCTCTCAAAATCCTCTTCAATCTAGCTTTAGATATAGCAGACTAATATCTGTAGAATATTGACCAGATCCATCATCTTGCACAGGAGAGCAAAAAATGTAGTCGGTACAGGAAAATTGATGTTAGAATACTATTTTACTGCGGGTGTGGACAGATGGGACGTGAAATTTGAGGTATAATAGCAATTCTGGGGAGTTATTACAAAGTCCTTGGATAAATATTTTTATTTATTCTGCACATTACATACTGCCTGTCTTTTATATTACATGTATACAATATTATATGAGAAGCAAAAAATTACAAAACAATAAAAAAGAGAAAAAAAGAACAATCCAAATAATAATAAAAGAAGCAAAGAAAAATGAAAATAAATTTAACGTACAATGAACTAAAAGTAAAAGAACTTAGATTTTTCTCCAAAATAATAAAATTCCTTAGTTTTAGTAAACTGGATAAAAATATAAATAAATTATCGACTTCTAATTTATTTTGAGAGGTATATACATTATTTTAAACAAAGGAATATTTAGCAGGAGGTATTAGAGCCTGATTTTTTTTTTTTGTATGTTGGGCAAATTAACATAGTGTCCAAGAGACTTACATTCTCCCATCTCACATCTCAGACAAGGGAATTCAGAGTCAATAGCCAGCCGAGTGTATTTTGTTTGTATATTCATATATCTTGCTGATAGCGACCCTACACTGACCAATGACCCTCAACCTCTCAAACGCAAATAGGGGACCCCCAAACTTGCTCCACGTCTTGAATTGAGGGTTATAGTTGGAATTGAGTCCTAGATAGATGTCCCATGACCAAAGATGGTCACAATACTTGGACGCAGATGACGAATGCCGACTTCAGCGTTCGAATTCATCTGTTCGTCAATTGCAGACTTAATCTGGTTGAGGAAGAATACCTAGTTGTAGGAGATGGAATGATTATGTCCTACAGTGATCAATATTTGTAGACATATCCTCTCGATTTCGGGATTGCAATCAAAACTGTATTGACAATTTGATGCTCCTTAAGCCTGATTCTAGGCTCACAATGTAATTCGGAGTATAGTACAGCCAGAAAAGTAAATTTTTAACATATTTTGTAAGGATTACAACCAAATTATCTAAATAAGGCAATGCCTAAATTCCAGCGCACATGCAACTACCAATTTTATTAGCACCTCAAAAAACCTTATTATGGTAGCCGAGGGATCAGATAGGGAGGCAATAAGTATTCGTCTTACATTTGCAGATGCTAAATTTGCTCTTGAAATAAAATGATCGCAGGAAGTTCTCAGACACAGCAAAAGAAACCCCCTAGATAAACATAAGTTTGGACATATTCTATGCCAGAATTATTAAAATTAAGGTTTTTGAGCCTCTTTTGTCTTCCATTATGATAGGTTAATACTTTTGTCTTGTCGATATTTGTCTTTTCGATATTGACAGTAAGGCCATTTAATTCACAGTATTGTGAAAATGTAGTTTATTTTGTGTCTCATGCCATGAATGCACCAGAATCAACTCATCTGCATATAGGAGCATAAACAAATATTTTTCATTGCCAGTGTCAAGGCCATAAGTTCTATTGTTTATAAAATATTTGATGATATTGGCTAGGGAGCATGAAAACAAGAAAGGACTCAAAACTTCTCCTTGCCTTACTCCCTCTGCTATAACGAACCATTTAGAGTGAGCACCATCTATGTTCAGAAGCATTTTTGCTTTATCATAGATAGCTTTAATAATAGCAATTAACTTTCCATTCATATTGAGTTCTTATAATTTTTTCAGTTGATAAATTTTATGTCGGATATATTTCTTCTTGCATGGAGAGCATTTAAGTTAAAAGAACTTACTTAGTTGCAGAAGGAGACTAATTTCGCTCGTAATTTTTCTAATGTTGTTGATATTAGTATGTGGAGACCAAACAAAACTAGCATACTCTAGAATGGGTTGGAAGTGTAAAGACAGATAAGAGGAGTGGTTTCTGTGAAGTCATGGGAGGATCTATAAAGGAATCCTAGTAGTTGAATGCCCTTTTGCATGTGTTTTCTATGTGAAGATCGAATCTTAATTTAGTATCATGCCAGATTCCTAAATCTTTAATGCCAGATAATCTTGTTAAACCTGTTGACTCTGAAAAGAAAAAGAATTTGCTTTTATGAATATTTCAAATTTTGGTCTAATTATGTTGCTGTGTACTTGGAAAAAGTTTGGGAGGTGATAGTTATTATTTATACAGTTAATAACTATATTATCATGGTAAATTAATATTTTCCTGTATGATCCTTGTTGTTTCTTTTTAGATGTAACACAGAGCGGGTTTTGGATTCAATAAAAGCCGTCTCGGACCATCTATCTGAAAGGATTTCCTTGGATTCAAATGAAGAGACGATCAATTCTTGTTACCTTAAAAACAATGATGCCAAGTCAAACCCAGTGGCTGTAACACCAGGAAGGATTGGTGCTCAACGTATAAAGCCTGAGCTGAACGCTCCTCCTAAGACCGATGATACCTCTTTCAACATGAACAACAACCTCATGTTCCGTAGTATGTTTTTTATGAATGATGAACCGAGGCATTTTCTCGCCCCTCACATCCCTGTGCTACCGAACGAGTCTGAGTATTTCCAGCGCAAGCAGCTGGCAGGTGGCAGCAGCCAGACGAACGTCGCATCTCAGACGACAAATGTGGAAATGCAGGTCCAACAGAAACCCGTCGTCCTGAAACAAAGACCACACACCTGTGAAGAGTGCGGAAAAACATTCCTTTTAAAGCATCACCTCGCTACGCACATAAGAGTGCACACGGGAGAAAGACCGCACGTATGTCCTGAATGCGGGAAGACGTTCGCTCTTAAACACTGCCTAAGTACTCACCTCCTCCTCCACAGTGCAGAAAGGCCATACAAATGCAATGAGTGCAACAAATCGTTTACGCTTAAACATCATCTTGTAAGTCCTACTTATCTCATTTCTTAAATTGATTAAGACAGTTATGTACTCTCAGGTCAGCCATGAAAAAATGCATACAAGAGATAGGCCATTTGAGTGTCGTGAATGTGGACAGACCTTTGCCCAGAAAAGGCACTTAAGTACCCATCTGAAATTTCACTCGGGAGAGAGGCCATTTTCATGTCAGGTACTTATTTGGTTATGCTACTGTATATATAATATTTGTAATTAATTCTTTTGAACAATGGTGCTGGAATCGCATGTTAGAAGAATGTTAGGAAGTAAATGTTAAACTTAGAATGAATTTATATACAATTTTTTCTCAATCGATTTTCATTAGGGTATCCGTGCTAATTGTTTAATTAAAATATAAATCATGTTGCTGAAAGAATACAAAATACTCAAATTTATTTGTTATTGATCACTGTTGCTGAAAGAATACAAAATATTCAAATTTATTTATTATTGATCACGTCAGTGTTTGTTATGTTTAGATACGATAAACGTTATTGCAGGTTTGTGGAGAGACATTTACGCGCGAAGAGCATTTGGTGATGCATTCTCGTTTCCACGGAGGCCTCCAGCCGTACATCTGCAGTGACTGTGGGGCTGGCTTCTTGAGAAAGTTTCAACTTGTTGAACACGAGAGGCAGCATGGAAGGTGCCCTGATGCCTGTCCGACATGCGGGAAGGAGTTCCTTCAAAAAAGGACTTTACTTCTTCATGTCAGGACATGCGGTCTCACACCAAACCCTCACTCTCACAACTTAGATCAAAACACAAACCTTTCAAAAGTTTGCAAGTGAGATTATTTTTATTGTCTTTATTTGTTATAATTGAACTTATTTTACAATATTCTAAAGGGCTATTTTGTTACTTAATTCTATTGTTGTACTACGGCTGAACAATAAATTATACTAGCTTATTTTTTTTAAGAACATTAACATAGAAATTATTTTATAAAACATTGAAAAATAAATATTATTTATTGCTTATCTTTTTCTTTTAGGGAATGTGGTGAAGCTTTTTCCAGTGCAGAAGGGCTGGCTCTTCATGTTAGATTGCACATAGGCGACCATAGTTTTCTTTCGGATATTTGTAGTTTGGCAGCTTCGTTAAAGCAAGCCGCTGGAACACAAACACAATTATTCCAAAAAAAGTCTCACTCATGCCCAGACTGTAACAGGAGTTTCACACAGAAACACGGCCTTAATCAGCACCTGCTTCGGTATCCGAACGGTGCTTGCAAACTAAAACCATACAGATGTGAAAAATGTGGGAAGGCGTTTTCACAGAAAAATCATTTAGTCCTTCACGAGAGGCAACACATGGAGCCGAGCGAAAGAAGTGAGTTGACAAAAAGGCATCAAAATTCGCTGGAAAACAGTCAGACAAATTTAATGCAACAGTTAGAACTTTCCGGTTCTGTTCAACCACAACAACAACAACAACATCAACAATCTCAGCAGCAACAAACACAGCAACAGCAACATCACCCGATACAGCACTTGCAGAAACCCCACGCATCCATCCATGAACGTTCAATGGAAACACTCCCTGTTGACAGGACTGAATTAAACAAACACCGCTTGATGGACACCAATCAGATGATGAGACATATAGAAATGAACGAGCAGGCCCGGCAACAACAGCAGCATCAAATGAACATTAGTAATCAAAAAGGCCACTTGGTCCTCCATGACAGGCAATTGGAGACTGCCGAGAGAACAGACTTGAAACATAACAGTTTAGACCAGATGGACAGTACCCAGACGACGATTATGCGTCACTTGGAACACCCATTGAACCATAACTCTCAGTGATCCTTCTTAATTTAGTTTTTCATTCCATAATTCCCTTTTTACATTAAAGATCCTGTAGATATTAGACGTGTTAAGTTATTTAGGCGAGTAGTCATATTTTTAGGCTTTTGAAAATGAGCTTTAATTCTTTAAACAAAAGAGAAAGTATTTTGTTTTGAAGGATGAAAGGAAATATACCACAGCTTCTCAAACTTTTACAAATTCGATGTATTCCAAGTATTAGCAAATTTTACCATTTGTTTTAGGTTTTCAGATATTTTGATATTGTGTCGTTGTAAGTGTTTCATGCATCACTAGTGTGTATATACAGTTAATTGGATGTGTAACTCCCGACTGCGTAAATAGTGTGACACACTATATGAATAAATATAGATACAACACAAATAAATAATGAAATTTTCATAATTCATATTTTATTTTATTTTTGAATGTAGTATTACCATTGTTACTATTAAAATTAAATACCAAACAGCATTGAATGAAATCAAATCCATGATAACTTTACTTTTTACTAAGAATTAAAATATTATTTACAGCAAGTCAATTATTTGGGGAATATATCAATAAATCGCATTAATATTTTATTTTGCTTGGGCTTTGTGCTTTATTGAACTTTGCAGCGCTTTTGTTTAAACTTTTTATTTCTCATTTGGTTGGGAAGGCCTCCTCTACCAATTTTTCAATTTGGCGGTGGAGGTGTTTGTGACCGCATCAGTCACCACAGAAATCAGCAGCCCAAAGTTCGAACCCAACATACATTTTTTTTTCTAAAAACCCTAGCATCCCTAATCTCTGCTGTACCAAACTCCCAGTAATAATAGTAACAATTAAAAAAAAAAAAAGTGAAGTTCAACATGAGTTCACCAACCCACCATCCAAGTTCAATGAAACACAAATCTCAAATAAAATTAAATAAACAGCCAAAAAAGAAGAAAACAATATTTTATTTTGCCTTTCTCAGTGTCACATTTATACTAGCATTATATCTTTTCATATCTGTCTTTGTTCTCTGCAAAAGAAATAGAACAGTATGAGCATTGCATTAATGAAAAAAGGGATCTTGTTCAATTTTAATTATACCTGGTTTTGTAGTATGTGATTGTATGATCCCATTTTGATAATTGAATGAGCAAGCCCATACATAGTGATTGATCATCCTGACCAGAAGTTAACATAGCAACTAGCTGTAAAGTAATTGAGGGAAGGGGGAAGAAGAGAGAGAGAGAGAGAGAGAAAAAACAATAATACTTAGTTATAGAAATAACTGTTTAGTGATGTGAACCGGGCCAGTGTTAAATTAATTTCGACAATATATGTAACTGCATAGTGAAGTATAAAGACCATTTGTACGTTGCAACCCTCTTGTTTATTGCTAATTAAATGATTTTATGTTTAAAAATGTACATGTACAAAAAAGCATGAGAACAAGTGAAGTATAATGATTGTGAATTTTTATCATATATGCAATTATTCGTATATGAAGATGATGTTAGACTCAAACTTGTGATTTATTTATTTTGTTGTTAATAATTTATTTTATATAAATTTATTTATTATGATAATTGTACAGTTACAACAATACAATTATTATCAGAAATACCAAAATTCATTTATTTTAAAATATTAGTTCATTTTTGTCTCTTAAATTTATAGGGTAATGATAAAATAATTTTATCCTTTTACTGCATTACTTTAAGTTGTAAACAATGTGTATTGTTTATTTATTCTAACCAATGCAACAATTTTTACAAAACAAAAAAAATCAGTTCTATCGTGCAAAAATGTGATCTTAATTTATATTTAGTACTTATAAAAAATGTTGAGAAAAAATTACTGTCTATAATTATTTGTAAATATATGCATATACGAAAATGTTTAGTTTGCTAAGAGAGATATAAAATGTTGATATACTTTCATAGGTTCATCCAAAATTGTGGTCTCCTTTTGAAAACTAAGACAACTAATTGTTTTGGATTAATTTTATTCTGCAAATAAACATTTGAATAATTTTGTCATAACTGGATTCGTCTGCCTTGTCTGTGTGCTGAGGGCTTAAATTGTTTATTTTGGGGTTACAGATGGTATAAAACGATGATACTTCTACAATATCCAACAGTTAAAGTTGATAGTAAAGAGAGATAAAGTCAGGTTGTGTATAAATAATTTTTTTATTGTTTAAGGTAAATCTTGCAAGGGTATTTGTCTCATTGCATTAATTTATATTCAATAATTGCATACATTATTGGTAATTATTATTATGTAGTAAGAAAAGCCAGCCATTAATTGACAATATTGTTTAATCGACAAATTACTTCAACAGAACTGTTATTATTATTGTATTTCAAATTATTGAATACATATTGGATCATAATCATAATTATTCTGACTATTTTGAAGTAAAGAGAAGCTGTTCTATTTTTTCGAATGTGTGAATTTATTAGAATTAGTTCAAACCGTAAGAATGGTTTGACATCTATTTGATAAAATGCACACAGCAGTTTAATAAGTTTTGTGTCAAGAGGACAATTAGGTTGGTGTGTCAATCTGATATTTGGATGACTTCAAAAATTAGAAAAAAGTAAAAAAAAATCACAATTTAAATTCAAACAAAAATTTATATTTAAGGATCTGTAGAGGTGCTAAAATGAAATTTCGTGTTAATTTCACAAAAAAAGACCTAATTTGCATGTAAAATATTTGCTTTTTAGAAATGTTTTGGCTATTGATAAACTTTAGTAGCTTTTACTATATTTATTTTATTGCTATAAAATGATTCACATAGCTGGTTCGAGAAAGTAGAACTATGAAATAAACATATTAAAAAACAGAAAATTTCAACTTTCAAAAAAAATTTTGGTGAAACCAGGGCCTATTGACAAGAAGTGGCGGATACGTGTCTGATATTTGTGTAGAACCAACAAAAAAAGTTTGGTCCAAAATCCTTGACGTACAAATCCGGTCGTCTCTTTGTAAATTAATAACTTCATTAACACTTAATAGACGTAAAAATGAAACTCAGTCCCTCTCATGCTTTTGTAGAGTTCAGAGCAGAGTACCAGTGAAAACCACACTATGCAATTGGAAAAAAACGATTTATTCTAGTTTCCACATTTTCTAAAGACATTATAAATATGAAGGCCTCCAGTCGCAAAGAATTAAAATAGAAATTAAAAGGCATACCTCTGCAAATATTTTCATATCAAAAAATATATTAACATTCACAATATGTTTTGTCCTTTTTCATTTATAAAATGGGTGTTGTAAGAAACAATGAAACTAACCTTGAAGATGAAGAAATTATCAAATTAATCAATTCACCAACTCCTGCCATGAGTATTAGGATAATAGCAAAAAGAACCAACACTGATGGAATATACAAAGATTCAGTTAGGAAGTGCATACTTTTGATTCTCAAAAAATACCAGACTTGATTTTTATCTGTGGATAGGGATATAGGATAACAGAGGGGGCCACGAGGCCTCCTGCACCTCGACATGACTAGATCTGATCTCCTCTATGCTTTTACCACCTCAATGGCCAAGTTCAGTTGTTAATCAACTTCCATTATCTTGTCAGCAGCTCCTTAGTGTAGGATCTTGCTTGTGATTTTTCCTGTCCTAGTTGCAAGAATCTGCACCTACATAGACCTTCACAGAAACATAAAATGCATTCTGCGGTCTCTTCTTCCTGACAGTATCTGCACAGTGTTTCCTCTGTCTGTGCTTCTATCCAGTGCAAGTGCTTTCTTAAGTGGAATTGCTCTGTCAGGAGTCCAACCAGAATCCTGGTTCAGTTGTGGTTGCTTTCCAGTAATTCCTTTGTAAGGATCTCTTTGCAGTTTCATACCTGTGGTACAGTTTTCACCAGGTTTTGGACTCATTAAGGATCCATTTTAAGAAACAACCTTTTTGTTGCCTCTTTGCCCCGAGGCCCAGGGACCTATGCTAGGGCCAGGTCATTAGCATCGCATGAATTGCATCGGGGTTTCCATGCAGCTCCAAACGCTCGTTGTCTTCTTACATGAGGCTAGGGTCTTTAGTGTTGCCTGATTGACAGAGATGATGGTTATCTTCCAGGAATGTATTCCTAGCCTTTTAATTTCCCTGGCGCAGTGTTCATTTGCTGTTTTCAGACTGGAAAACTGTACCATATTTACATAGGATTACTGTCAGTTTAGCCTTTGGATTCATCCTAAAGATTCCAGCCCTTGTGCCTTGTTGGTTTTGGAGCCATCAGTGTACAAGTAGGAGTTTGCCTTTAGCGGTGTTCTTTTCTTCTTTCATTTCCAGGACTGCAGTTGGCATTGAGCTCATGGCTACAGTGACACCGAGACAAGCTTGCCTTTGGGTGCCATAGCTAAGCTAATAAGCTTGATAGCCTGATTGCTTTGGCCTGCAGTCTTGGTCCACCACACCACCAACCCATATGTCAACATTGGTCTAAGGACGCAGAAGTACAGTCATAAGGTCATTTTGGGGGTTAAACCAGTTTTTTCACTGAGCCTTCTGCACCTCCCCCAGGCAATTTGATACCCATCATCCAAGAGAGTCTAATAGAAAGAAGAATAAGTCCCCTTCTTCCTTCTAGACTCCCAGGCACTTAGAAATTAGCTTGTTTCTAATTTTCCACTAATTCTAAACTTCAGTTTTTCTCATTCGAGTCTATTTTTAGAGGATCCATATCTTTTTGAAGATTCTATTCCCCTACATTTTCTCCTGTTTTACCCAGTCAGTATTTACCTTAGAACTTGTAATTTCACTCATTAGGATTATCAATTCTCTAGATGACATTGTACGACCTTCTGTATTTTCATCCATTATATTTCTTACGCTTTCTGAACTTACTAGAGATTCAGGAGAGCATTTGAATTTCTTCACACTTCTCTTAATACTTTGTGTACCTGTATCGCTCGTCTCACTTGTATATACCTTTTCTTCTTAGTTAAATTTCTGCACCGTATGTTGACAGAAAAATCCCACATTAATTTCGAGGTTTAGATTTAGGAGTCAAGTTCTATAAAACAACAAAACAAACGCGTTTATGTTCTTTGCAGTAGGAGAGCAGCTTTACTTTCGGATCTGTGTTAGTAAAGAACGTTCTTATTGGTATTTTTATTAACAGGTAATACAATATTTTATAACTTCCACTTACAGTAAATAATATATCAGTTATCATCCAACAATAATTTAAGCGACCACTTTTTTAGTAAAGAGAATTATTTGCGTTAGAATAGTTTATAATTAAACAATAGGACAGTTAATAAAAAAACAAAACTCTTAAATGTATAGGTAAAATAGGAATAATATATATACATAATAATTTTTCAATTAATTAATGTTTATGAAAGGTATTGGTCGAGATAATTAATTAATTGAAAAATGTTAATTGGTCAATCGGACCACGAACTGTAATGGATACATAATGGTGAGCTATATTTTGTTCCCGGGCCTCACTTCGTTCGAAACGACAGTTTTGTCCAATTATGATGATTTGAATTTAGAGTATTGGCAACAGAAGAAGGTGCGCGTTGCGTTAAATGTGAACTGTCGCCCAACTTCAGAGTCCTGTGACGGCGAGTGGCATCTGGCGACTGATGAGAATTGTGAAGCGTCTTCTCTGGCCGCCTGTTGGCCTTTGTAGCCGTAGGCCCGTAGCGGGGCGTCGCGTGGTGGGGGTTGCGCACAAACCTGCGCCCGTCCCTCGCCAGCTTTCCGTCACCTTCGCCAGCCGTCTCCACGGATCGAACGCCCGCGCCTCGACACTTCAAATCCCAGTTGAAAAGACACAACTTTTATTGGAAAACAACAGCCCGATTACCGTCACCACGGACGAACCAGATCCCTGGCTAATATGGAGGTGAGTACGCGTTCTTATTCTATCTTCCAGATTCGGCGGACGTCCAGCAAGAATAAGATCCCGTCAAAAGGTTTTCCCCTCGATACGTAATTTCCGAATCGCGCTCCATTCTCGGTTTGCCACTTTTGATCTGAAATCCGTATTTGACCGATGACTGGCCCGAAGGGAATGAAGTCCGTCCTCCGTCCACTTCCCAGCCCCGCCAATCGATTTGCTCTAGCCAAAACAAGATGACAGTCCTCTTAAAGGGAGAATCCCGGCTTGAAACGGATTTTTCGAAGAGGCAAACTTGTCCCGAGTAGGTTCCAACCCGTGAAATCCTCTTGTTTTTCTTCCTTTGAATTGGTTTTGCAATGTTTTGGTCGTCAGC